ATTTGGAGGAGAGCTTCAGTATTGAACAATCTTCCTACTGACAGTCAAGTATTGAAATTTCTCGGTATCACTGGTGACTTGGTACGGGGTCACACTCTCTGCCTGTTGGAACTTGTACGTGTCATATGACGTACTTCGTGATAACTATCGGAGTCATCTTCTTCATCAGATGATAGAAGGGATGATCCCATCCATGTTTTGAATCCTTCGTTAACACGCCTTTCGACATCTGGGGTGACTTCCAAGGGGTTAGTCTCCAACATTTCTAAACCAAGGGTTCGACTACCGGATTCTACTTCGTCAAGAATTACGGCTGCTCTCCTTCTTAGGAAGAAGGCAGTTCCTCCATATAGAATCACCAGCCCCCAAGAAGCAATCTCATAGCACCAAAATAAGGGTAAAGAGCAGCTGCTTCCTAACGTGAGGAGGCTTGAACCCAGGAACAAAGCAAAAAGACCAAAGATGATAGCAAAAACTACATTCAAAATAGACAAGCACCGAACTCCACCTGCAGATTGCAATAAACTTATTTTAGGAACTGAAAATATATATGAAATTAACACATGCATGTATGAAAAAGAAGAAGAAGCAAAATTGTAGTTACAAATCAGCATGAGAATGGATGAGTATATCTATTCAAGCTAATGATGTTCATAGCTTAACGGGATCAATATTTTAATTCACTCTTTCAGAAGAATAAACAAGAGAAGAAGATGCTGGTTTTGAAGTAACAGCTAGAACAAATTCAAATTCCACTCGCATTTAAATTTATAATAGAACAGATTTCAGCAAGTCGAAATTGCCAGACAAGTCAGAACTAATACTTTGTTACGCAGTAACGGAGTCCACTTTAAATGAGCAGTGAGAAAAAAATATTCTCAAGTCAATAAATGAGAAATCGAACATACCTCTTTTTGAAGCGCAGTAATTATTCTCGACCGCCTTTAAACATCCATGTCTAGTTGGAGCAGAATAAGCAACAGTAATTCCTGACTCACAACTAAACCGTTAAAGAGCAGACCAACAAGCCAGGATACTTACATAAACTAAAAGGACAAGTGACAAGGGATTAAACATATGAACAAGCAAATTCAAAGACCCAACATCAAAGCAACCCTCACAAAAATTAGCACAAGAAAAACTACCATATTCAAGTTCCAATATTCTCGGGTCAGTTTTAACCTTGAAATAACAAGTGAACAAGACTATACACTCGTAGCCCAGAATTTATGCGAAGAATGCCATGGAAGCAATTACAAATTCATTAAGCAAGCCGAATAGCCAAGATAATGTGAACCAACCATTAGCCACCAGCAACCTCTACTTACACCACTGACAGATTCGGTACTTTTCAAACCTCAACATTAGAAGAATACTAGAACCAGGAAACCAGGGAGATCCCCCTATGACATTGAACAGGTCAAATAAGAAGCTTAATTTCCTCACTATCGTTAAAGCTAGATTACATATATATTGTCTTTCACGATGTGGAACTGAAGAAAATATATCTTTAAGTTTCATAGCCATAATACTCATCTACTATATTTTCCAGTCACAGTGTTCTGCTACTGAATGACAAACAATAAGAGAGCTTTACAGCTTATAATTCAAGATTCAAGGCTAATCTTCACCTTTCTAAAAGCTTACTTTCTACAATGTGCAATTCTTGTGTACCCTCCTTTCATTTCTGAATAAGATCTTAAAGGGACCAAAGAATAAATAACCAAATATAGACTGACCTGCCACAAGATAAGCAGCCGAAGCCAAAAAAATGACCATAGATGGAATAAACACAACCATCCAGTAGTAATCCACGGTCTCTTGATCAGTCAAATAAAATGCTCCGGGATATAGATCTGAATCGCCAACGCCTCCTCCTTTCGCATTCAACGGCAAAGGCTGCAATCTCCGGTCGTCACAGAACGGTCGCTTCAATACGTCTCCAGGAAACACAATCTTCAAGCTTATAACCGTGCAAGCAAAGATCGCAATGCAAATGATCCCTATGAAACCTATTAAGATCGGTCTTTGTAGCTTCGTCCAAGCTTTATCTCCCTCCCTTAAACTCTCGTACTCGTGCTTTGGCATAAACGTTTGGCGCAGCGCGTCGCCTATAATTGCCATGGGAAGCTTTTATTTGAGAACCTTACCACAGTATGGATCCAAAACTAGGGTGATTTGAGCTATTTCTTCAAAATGTGAGAAATGTAAAAGTCCAGGATTTTCGAACCCTGATAGCGTGTTTCGAAATTAAAGAAATAAACCTAATTTTCGAAAGGGATGGCAACAAACTACTTGGAGTTAGTTAATCTAGGGTTTAATTCGGGTGCTTTAATCGGAGAAGGAGAGGCGGTTGGAGGTGCGGCGTAGTTTTCAGTTGTGAATCGGCAGTTTTACGCCGTTTTTCAACTGGGTTTAGACGCCATTTTGTACCGCGGTGAACAGATACGGTTCCCAACAGTACTATTCGAGAAATCTACGTAATTAAATTATGTTCCCTTATTTATAATTGGATGGTATAATAAATAATAATAATAATAATAATAATAATAATGACGTTTATATCGAAAAATTACTTTTTCATTTAATATTTTCGATCAGGCATCGTTCAGATTATATTTCTCGATCTAACATCCTTTGCATAAAGGCGGGCCCTTTAGCGCGTTTAACGTTGATTTAGCGCCACGTGAAGTAATGCGCGCCTTATGCTGACATTGGATACATGTGTGTATAGCGCGGCCCCTGAGGCGCGCCTTAGGCCACGTAGGGTATAGCGCGAGGCAAGGGTCGCGCCTTAACTGTGAATCTGACACAATTATATTCGGCACAGTCCTGGGGTCGTGCCTTAGTTTTATCTGCTATAATTATGTAAAGCGCGATACAGGTACCGCGTCTTGTATAATTATAATAACTTTTTTCAGCTATAATACCCTTCTCTCGAAACTTCTCACATCTCCTCTAAGAGAAAAAATTAATACAACAATCCGACAATCTTCTTATATTTAATTCAGAAGTTCGTTCGATTTTTCATTATAAGGTAATTTTGTTATAATTTTTTTATTATACTTATTGTTTATTATGATTATATGAAAATTATATTAATTGTTGCCAATTAATTTCTATGTTTGTAAAATTGAAAAGCGAGAACATACGTCGAAACAGTTTTGCGGTGCATAGGTCTGGTTCTATCTTACAGTGACCATGATATCTACCTATATAACCGAATCCAGCGTCTACTAAATACGGTAAGACACAGCTAGTTATTACTAACTTAAGGTTCCTAATAAAAGGACCTAATACACGGTCATTCTCCTAAAATTAAATAGTTACAAAAATTAATTTTTAATCTAATAGTCATGCATTAAATAAATCAACAAATTATTACTAATAATTTAAATTAAATTAAAATGTTAATGTATCAACAAAGTGTCGAGATATATGATTTTCATCCAAACGAAGTAGACCGTCTTCCATTATATATTTGCAAAAAAATTATTTATGTAAAATATTAAATAAATTAAATACTTAAATAAATTAAATACAAAATATTAAAAATATAATAAAATATACCTTAAACAGAGAATATAAGAGTATTTGAGAGAAGTTGAGAGAAATTGAGAGAATTTAGTATGATGAAAGTGATTGAGGATGAGGTATTTATAGGGAGGGATTGGCGTGTGAAACGTCGGGGTAGGTGGGTAATTAAACCTAAGGTGCGCCGCAGGGGGCGCGCCTTACTGACGCGTGGCAGATTCACAGGTAAGGCGTGGCCCCTGTCCCGCGCTATACCTTATGTGGCCTAAGGCGCACCCCAAGGGTCGCGCTATACACATGTGTATCCTATGTCAGTATAAGATGCGTCTTACCCCACGTGACGCCAAATCAACGTTAAGCGCTGCAGGGGGCGCCTTTCTGCAAAGGGTATTAGATCGGAAAATATAGTCTGAACGATGCCTGATCGAAATATTAAATGGAAAAAGTGATTTTTCGGGAAAAACGCCAATAATAATTGGATGGTAATTTAATTCGATTAGGATGGAATAAAATTTGATTTAATGTTATATAGTTATATTTTTTATAAAATAAATAAATTTGAATTATATTGAGTTAACGAGGGATGAGATTAGATTTCAACTCAAGCATAATATTGTAAATTCTCTTTACATATATTATCTTTTTATTTTATAAAATAAAAAAAAATTATATTCATATTGAGATTTTATCTTAAAATTTAAGTCTAATAAATTTTTAAAAAAACTTGAATTCAATCAAATATCATATAAGAAATTTAACTTTTAAATCTAACTCAAATAGATAAAAAAATTGACCTAATCTAATTTATTATCATCCCGATTTATAATTGAAATGTTCATTTGTGATAGATTTTAGGGTAGTATTGTTTTATTGAGTCACTGATTATTAAAAATTATAAAATAATCTTTTGATTATAAGATGTTATTTTGTCGAGTTTATCTATTATTAAAAGCAACAAAATAGTCATCCAATTATTTATATGTTCCAAACTCGTTCTTTTCAGTTAAAAAATTAACGGTTGTTTGAACTGGATGTTAACATACTGATTGTGATAGGATAGAAGTTTTAGATCAGATTTTCATATCCCAATCAACATGTGAACGTCTAATTTAGATTGTCGTCAATTTTTAATAGAAAATGACGAGTTTATATATATGTAGTATGTCAAGTGACCATTTTATAACTTTTAATAACAATAAAATCAATAAAACAACACTCTATTATTAAATATCATTTATATATTTTACAGTAAATTTTATTGATTTTAACATCTAAACACATAATATTTAGATTATAAAATATAGTGTATGTAATTATTTATAAATGATTTTTACGGAAATTACCATAAAGGACACGTCAATACGTCATTGTAGTAGGTAGTCCATGAATCGTGGTTGGTTGTTGTGGCCCAGGCGCTAAATAAGTTTATAAATGCTGAAAGTCATCTCTTCCTATCAACATCAGCCGGCGGAGTTTTGTCAGATCTCGCCGTCGTACTCTTTTGGCGATGGAATCCAATCCTCTCCTACTATTTAGTCAACCATTTCCATAGCCTACTAAAAGAATCATCGCTTTTCATTTCTTCACTCAACAAAAGCTTCCATGGCTTCTCTATCAGCTACTTACCCAAAATACAAGTCCAATTTTCCGGCAAGATACGCCGATCAATTGTATGATTTATGTCTTGTTCCAAGAAATCATTCACTCATGAAAAAAGGGTCACCCGGATATTTGAGAATCGTTCGAAGTTCTAATCAAACTGAGTCAATGAAATTAACAGACATTCCTTTACTGTCTTGTCTAGAGGTTTGTTTTCTTCTTTCTTTTTTCTTACGTGATATCTTTGATTTCACCTATCTGTGATGTCTTCTTCTTTCACTTGTTTTAAGGCTATTGAGAGGCTAAAACAGAACAGAGAGAACAACAGAGGGAAGCAGCAGTTCCTGGCTATGTACTCTAGCATATTTGGTGGAATAGTAACCGATGAAGCAGCCATGGTGATCCCTATGGATGATCATATGGTTCACAGGGGGCATGGTGTCTTTGATACTGCTGCAATAATGAATGGGTTAGTTCATCTTTCAGCAGAACAGATCTTCTTCCCCCCCCCCCCTAATTTAGAATCTAATTTAGAATCTTCTTTATTAACCTCTATTATGTGTTTTCTACATGCCAGACACCTCTATGAATTAGACCAGCATGTTGATCGAATCTTAAGGTCAGCGACGATGTCGAAAATTGCTCTTCCCATCGGTCGCGAGACTATTAGAAGCATTCTTATACAAACTGTAAGTGCATCTAGGTGCATGAATGGATCATTGAGATACTGGATTTCGGCTGGACCTGGTGACTTTCAACTATCACCGTCTGGTTGTCACCAACCGGCTCTTTATGCAGTTGTAATCGAAGATAAATCTCCGTTCGATTCGAGAGGCATCAAAGTAGTTACTTCGTCGATCCCCATAAAGCCTCCTCAGTTTGCCACCGTGAAGAGTGTGAATTACCTTCCGAATGTGCTTTCAAAGATGGAAGCTGAAGAACAAGGCGCATTTGCAGCAATTTGGTTGGATACTGATGGATTCATTGCCGAAGGACCGAACATGAATGTGGCATTTGTTACAAAGAAAAAGGAGCTTCTAATGCCCAGATTCAACAAAATTTTGAGTGGTTGCACGGCAAAGAGAGTTCTGACTCTAGCGGAGGAACTGGTGAGACAGGGGACGCTCCATCGAATAAGAGTCGATAACGTGAGCGTAGATGAAGGGAAGAGCGCAGATGAAATGATGCTAATCGGCAGTGGAATCCTCGTTCGTCCCGTGATACAGTGGGATGGACAAGTCATTGGCGACGGTAAGTTTCGTTTTTGACATAATTGCAATATTTGGCAACTAGTTTCTAGCATTCAATGATTCAAATCCGCCTGCATTCCAATTCATTTATTTCATTTTATCCTTGAATCTCGATTGATTAAGTGCTTTGTCCGAAAACGTAGCGTGTCCTTACTCGAACTGCATCGGAATAGTTCGATCCCAGAACACCTCTTCGAAGTCACACTTTCAGAATCTCTTTTATCATTTAGGGTTCATCAATACTTTCCTCATGTAGCATTGACAATTCCCCGCTTTATGTGTTTCTTTGCAGGCAAGGAAGGTCCAATATCAAAAACTCTCTTGAATTTTATCCTAGAGGACATGAAATCCGGTCCTTCATCGGTCCGAGTACCTGTTCCTTATTGAGGCAAAGCTTCATTCATTATCTTGCTATATATAACAAGGTTTGAATTAATGAAAAGTTCGATTAAGCTTGCGTTCAAATTCAATTACTTAACCTCACTTAAGTGTGTGTTTAAATTCAAATTAAATGTCTTTATCAGGTAAGAAAAGGAGCATATATGAAATTTAATAATATAGATATTTAAAATTTTGCTCGGATTATAACATAAGCTAGAGCTCGGCTCGATTATTACCATATCAAATTTAATTTTTTTAAGTTGATCTCGAATAACTTGTAAATAATGTTATTGGTAAGTCTAAATCGAAAATGTGCACTTCATCTACTAATAATTTTATCAATTTGGATTTATTATTAACATTATAAAATAGAGGAATTAAATCATAAGTTTGAGAATAATAGAGGAACTAAAATCTGAATTAGACCTTCGGAGTCGCGCACGAACCACAGCTCGATTCATACATGCAGTGGTCAAAGGCATCGCTATCAGGTGGATGTGCCACGTGTATGCAGCATTTAACACCACGTGGTGGGTTTTGGTTGAGTCGTCCTATTTTTCTTACAAACATTCCCAAATGATTGGAGGAAAAAAAGGGAAAAGAGGGATAATTATTTTGAGATTTATCTTCCAAAAAATAAGAAGACGACGAAAAAATAACAATTTGATTTGCATTTAGAGACGATTCGTAGGACCGGAATATTCCTCAATTTCGCCGGACGGTGACCGGAATCGCATTTTAAGTTTTTATTGAGTGGACGAATTGTTTATTTTTGTGAGCGAAGATGGTGAATTATTGGTGGAAAGAGCTACGAGCGATGCACTGACGGGGCCAGATTGGACGAAGAACACCGAGATCTGCAAATACTTAACCATAACCTACGTATGGGTCGCGCTTGATCCCTATCCCTCCCTCATTTTCAGAATTCCATTTGATTATAACGAACGAATCTGCTACTAATTGTAGATGTAGGAAAGATTAATTATCAAATTATCTTTTTTCGCGGGTAATTTGGAAGGGAGATTTGGTTCGTGAAGCTTACGAGGATAGCACAATTTCTATGTTTTTTTCATTGTTCAATATTCAACTTAATCTGCTGCTCATTGTAGATTTAAGAGATATGGCATTGGTATCGTAAATTTCTAATAGTCTGAAATGATTACGATACAATATCTATGCCTACGAAAGCGTAATGTGCGCATTTATTCTGATTTTGGTTATAATTATTCGAATGTTATATCTTAACCTTAAATTATTTATCAGGCAGGTGAAAGACGTCGTGAAAGGCATAAAGAAGAAGATAAAAAGTAAACATCCCAAAGTCCAAATCCTTGCACTAACGGTAAGCTCCTGAGAATTAATTTGCACTGCAATTTTCACTTCTTTTCTACTTTTTCACACCTTGTTCTTACAAGGAAACTGAGCTTGTTTAGATTTTGACCTATGTTGTTGTAGCTGCTAGAGTGTATGTTAAAGAACTGTGGGGACATTGTCCATGTGCATGTTGCAGACAGAAACGTTCTTCCTGAGATGGTTAAAATATACAAGAAAAGGGTAGGACTGTCATGTTTTAACTCTCTCTTTTTTTTTTTGCATGTGTTTTTATTCTTATATTAAAGCTTCTTCTAAGTTCTTTGCCGGTCTATTGTAGAGTGATTGTGGGGTCAAAGAGAAGATACTGCTTCTGGTTGATACTTGGCAAGAAGATTTTGGAGGGGCAAGGGCAGTCTATCCACACTATTTTATTGCATACCAAGAGTTGTTGGTATGTTGGCTTTACGCCGAATTCTATAAAAAAAAAAAAAGTCCATGTATTACGTGTTTTTGGATAATTTAGTCCATTTACTATAATTTCATCATTTCTAGTCCTCTACTTTTTGTGATGTCTAATTTCAATATCGAGACTTGCTTTTTTCTGCAATTTCACTAAATAATTCGATGTAGTTTATTCTTTTTAAACATATAATGATATAATGATGTGGCATATACATTTTGATATATATTGTTGGACAATTTTTTGCATATTTAAACAATGAAAAAATAGAAAATGTATAATACTTGTCCAACATTACAAAATTGTTAAAACGTATGTGACATCATCCAATTCTTTTTTTTTAATAAGCCACGTCAAATAAATTGACTGAATTAATGAAAAATAGGTTGATTTTAGGTTTGAAAATAAACATTGCAAAAATGCATAGTAGGAGGACCTACTATAGAATTTGACCTTTTACTTATGACTCCTCATACATTCAAAACATGGCTGTTATGCAAGCAGTAGTTCTACATGGTATGACTTTTTCCCTTCAATTTTACTCGAGCCAAACTGGTTTGTCATTTCAGCGAGCTGGGGCTGTATTCCCCCAGAGAAATGAGAGGTCTCAAACTCAACCTAAAAATCACCAAAATATGGGCTGCTGGGATAAGCAAGAGGTGGATGACCCTTCAGGAGAGCCCGAGTTTCCAACCCTGAGGTATTTTTGTTGCATCTCAGTTGTTTGAGTCGTAAAAACCTATGCTAATTGGACTCAGGTGCGAGTGTTGGATACCGTACATATCGCACGTAGATATGATTGGATATTAGGAGGTCATATCCTCGTATCCATGTGCTGCACATAGATAGATTAAAGAAAACAAATAGTCCGAACAACATTGGTAAAAGCACGGTATCTATGTGCTGCATATGTGTTGTTTCTTCTTTTAAAACTTCACTGACTGAATGATGTTTTTGTGTTTTAATTGGAGTTTCATTTTTTAGTTCGACAGAAATTGAGAATGTGCGGAGAATTATTAATGACCTTGCAGATATGTTAAACGCATTAGATCCTAACAACAAGGAGGTATGTGTTTGCAATTTGAAAATCTAGAGAAAGGAAAGATATTTTGCTTGCTTGCTTAGACGTTTCTGTGTTGTAATGAACAAAACATATTCAGTGACCTTTCTTCTACAACTTCAGGGTGTTAAGCAGGATGACATTGTTGACTTGGTGGAGCAGTGCCGCACCTACAAACAGAGAGTTCTTCACCTCGTTAATTCGACTTCGTAAGGATGTTCTTTTCTTTTACAAAACTTCATAGCGTCCATAGTACCATTTTTACACGTCGATTACTTGATGTTGTCATCTGTTTTCATGATGCTGACATTCTTTTCTGTATGGTGTCTTGATGCATTCCGTTAGTTTTGCTTTTACCTGGTGCTTCAGTTGATTGTGCCTGTGTTACTTGATAAAGTGCCTGGCCGTATGTCATTTTTTAGTCCTGTTGTCATAACGCGATCGCTCGCTTTAACCTCAATTTGATCGAATGCTGGAGCAATTCAGCTATCGAACATGACAATTTGTCCTCTTTGAACTGTTTTTCACATGCATCCCTTTCTTATGTCTGAAGGGAAGTTAACAAAGCTGCAGATTGGGTTGCTAGGAATGCTACGCTTGCTTTTGTCCAAAATGACTGCTCCATAGGCTCTTCTTTCATTGCTTTCCTTGCAATGTCAGTTTACGTGCTTTTTCATCGTCGTTTATGATCTATTCTAGCATGCATAGCGTATGAGTTGCATTGGTAGTCATTTTCTAACCTCTAGGAAACTGTAGGAGGAGTTGCGTGAAATACTTTTACATTTAAAACATATATCACCTTTAATTCTCTCTCTTCTAGGGATGAATCACTTCTACGCCAAGGTTTAGACTTGAATGAAGATTTGCAGCACTTACTAGCCAAGCATCAAGCAATAGCTTCAGGAAGTTCTTATCAACCAGACAATAATAAACCTAAGCCTGCAAGAGACTGGGAATGCCGGTGGTCATCTAGTTGATACTGGTGATATCAGCAACCAGTATAATGAGAGGTAATTACACTTGTTTGATCTCCATTTACAATATGCTGGGAATCGTTGATTAAAATGTGTTTACAAGTTTTTTGAAGCCTTGATAGAACTTAGTCACTCGGTTTTCTGAACAACGTTGCCTTACTGCAGGGGCTTGATTATGACGAAGATCCCGTTGAACTATTTTAGATATATAGTGATTACTAGTTAATTTATGGGTTATCTGTGATTCTTGATCAGATGTTCTGGTATCTCAAGCTTTGACAAACCGGATTTCTTTGCAGATCCATCTCCGGTGCGGATGCAAGTTCTCAACCAGGTAATACTGCTCCAGCAGCAGCGACTCCCAAAATAGACCTACTTAGTTGCATTGACTTTGATTCATCAAATGCAGATATTTCGCCGGCCATGGTTCCTTTTGGAGAAGCACAAGAAACAAGTCCTGCACCACAGCAGAAAGCCACTGTTCCATATGATATGTTCCCTGATGGTAACAACTCCTATGATTCTTCTAACACACAAGGTTTGGCTGGACAAACCAATCCTTGGACTCCTCAATTTCAGCAGCAGGAGCAGAACTTTCATGGGATCATTGGTCCTACCTGGAATAGTCAGCTGGATCAGCAGCAGCCGTCCCCTTCACCTGCCTATGGTTTGTTTCTGTTTATAATAAGCTTTTCGTGCACAGATAGATCCTACATGACAGAAAATACATCATTATGGTGTTTTCTCTTATCAAATTCATGTAGTTATGTTCTAGACCTCTTTGGCAGGCTGAATAGTTTATATTCTTGATATGCTACTACACAAAAATCAATGAAACTTACTTTTTCCGTGTCGGTACTAGCACTACCCCCACCACCCTGGGAGGCACAACCAGCAGACTGTAGCCTAATTCCAGGTGCTAAGTATCCCCAGCCAATGGTAAGCACGTACACTCAGCCGATCACAACAGGTCATTTCTCCGCAACTAATAATAATCGGGCCATGCAGGGAAGCCAGTTTGCTAGTTTTCATCCCCAACAAAGCCAAGAACCTCAGTACATGGGCATGGTTCCTTACAACCAACAAGAACAACAAATGTATGGAAACCCACAAATGGAAGCACCATCTGGTTATGGCCAGCAGCAGTATCTTGACCAGCAAATGAATGGGCTATCCATTAGAGATGACAATGGCTTAATAAACTCTCCATACCAGGTTTCAAGTGCCTCTAATGTTCTACCCAGCAAATCTTCACAACCAGAAAAGACCTTCACAACCACAACAGTACTCCTGGAACACCTGGTACCATGTGAAACCCTGAATTTCTTTCATGATTGTCATTTACATAATTCCAGGTGGCTAATTTGATTCCTCTCATGTCCCTTAGCCCTTTTTGTCCCCCCTTAAATTTTCCTGAAGTTTTTAATACACAATGAGCCGGGCTTGGATGATAGCCTGTTACTAAACTCCCCTGGAAACCCCAGGAACAGATTATTGAATTTGTCGAGTTTAGTACGTTAAATCATTGATGAGTAAGGAGAGTATTAAATGTTTAGGATCGTAATCAAAACAGAAAAACTGAGACCAAAGAGATGAGAACGAGACTGCCATCAACCCGACACCACAAACTTTCCATCTAAAGACGTAGAATAAAGATCACTGATGCTAATCACGAGCGATGCATACTGCAGAAGTGGATCATCGAAACATAAACTTGACAATAATCTTTGTATTAAACCAAATTTCAGAGAAACGAAACATGTTTGGTCCAATTCACGACTGACGGGTTTCTCATTGATCAACACTTCCTCATTCATCATATCATAACAAGCAACACTCCAATTTGGCAAGAAAAATAACAGCCACCGACCAGAGGTGCTATTATAAAGGCATAGATATACCTTCAACATCGGAAAACAACAAGAATTAGAAACAAATGATAAATGCCAGTAACCGAGTAAATAAGTATGCTCGAATGCAAAACATTCAGAAAGAAATAGCAACATGAACAAGATATTTTTCGTTTCCAACTTATTCAATTAATTTATCATCACTGCAGACGGCAGTACTTTATCAAGCATACACAATGCTGGCTTTCTTGACAAAATAAACTATCACCAAAATAGGCATGTCCTCACCAGTGAATGCCAGAGAGCCTTACAAATGCATGCTATAAACTATGCAAATGGTAACTAACAATAAGGAGAAGGGATTCCATGAAACAGCCCGTCACATAATTGAACAATTCACTAACGATTCTTACATTAAATAGTTGAGTTTTTCTATAAATCTAATCACATGGTGCAATTGTTCCGTACAATCATTACTCAACTATATGAACTAAGAATTCAGAGATCAAAACTGTAGTGTTAATCGCTCCATTTTCTGTATCAATAATCTTGAGTGCTGGCAATCTCAAAACAAATTAAAAAAAATGCATTCAATGTGTTCCAATAAGAAAGAGACCTTGAGGAATCAAACCCCAACTCTGAGATTCCATAGCAAGAAATGATCTGAGGCGAGCTGAAGCAACTGCACTGTGTAATGGCATCATTGACATTAAGCAGCTCAGCTCCACTGGCAATCTAAGGGAAAAAATAAACACTATGAAATTGTTATTAGTGACATGTGTCGAGCCTAGTGATTTTGAGAATTTATTTTAAAATTTTTAAAAATTAAAAAAATATTTTTTATTTAAAAAAAAAAAGCAAATCACCCTGCGTACGCAGCAGCACCCCCTTTCTTCTTCTTTTTCTCCCCCTTCCCCCTTTCCCCCTTCCATGGTAGTCGTTCGGCCAGTCGTGACCGTCACCGCCACCGCCACCGGTGTTAGCACCCGCATCGACTCCCAATCAAACCTCCGTTGACCTTTCACCGTAAGCTGCCACTGTTTGACATGGAATAGCGTTTGAAGGTTCGTCAGATTTTAAGCTATCATCGCTGTTTTTCGTCGATTTCAACTGATCCCGACGTTTATAAGCTACGCCATCACCACTATTCGAATCACTGTGTAGTTTAGCTCAAAACCCATCCTCACCGTCGCTCCTCTAGCGTTCCACTGTTGGTAACAGGTTGAAATGAAAGATTCTAGTTTTTTTGAGTTTTTTTTAATTTCATTAAATTTTTGATTTTTTTTTAAATAAATTAAGTTTTTTTTTATTAAAAATAATATTTTTATTATTAAAAAATAAAAAATATATATATAATGAGACACCTAAAAGTATAACTGAGAAAACATTAGACACCAAATCATATTTTTTGAGGTAAAGTTTAAACACTTATTTTTGTATTAAGCCTTTCAAAATCGTGGTAAATATTTAGTTTTTGTTTCATTTTAATACCCAACTGTTAAAAACTTAACGCATTTAATACATAAACTATCAATTTTGGTTCTTTTTAGTACTTAAACTTTTAATTTTTTTCAAAGTTAAATGCTAATTTTTTAACAGTGGTACTAAAATGAAACAAAAACTAAACTTTAGGTATGTTTTTGAAAGAATTGAAAATTTAAGTACTAAAACAAACTTAAACTAATAATTAATGTATTAAATGCATAATTTACCTAAAAACTTATTGTCCTTTGACCACGATGTATATAAAGATTTGTTGCTATTATTTTATAATAATTTCATACGTTTAATGATTATTTTATAATTTTTAAAATTTTAATAATTAAAAAGATTATTTTAACATGATATAATGATCATTTATATACTTTATATATGTTTTTGTTTATGTATAATTTCCATTTACATAATACTTCCACGTTATACATCCGAATGACAATGATTAACATGTTATATATTTAATGGGTACAAACATAATAGAATAGATAGGGATGGATATTTAATTTCATTCGATGAGTTTCGACTGATTAAATCGAATTAAATTAGTTATGAATTTCCACTTAAAAATTGAGTTGATTTTGAATCGAGTTGATTTTAAATCGAGTAGAACTCTTTTAAACCTGAGTCGATACGGATAAAGGGTACTTTTTTTAATTAGGTTCTAGTGAGTCAAAAATTTACCACACCTAACTTATCTAGAACATGCGAATTAACCATTTGTTTAAAGATTAATTTAAAATGTAACAAAAAAAAAGATAAATTTAAAATTAAATTAATAGTTTAGGATCTTTAATGCAATTAACCCAAAATAAAGTAGATCGCAGAACACATAATCAAAGCTCCGTCACCATCATCAAAATAAAAAAGGCGACAAAAGAAGAATCCTTTTCTCTCTTCTCAGGTGAACTCTTCAGGTTAGATTCTAATAAACTCTCTTTAATTTTCCTTTAATTATCGTTTGAACTAATTTCATTAATCGATATCTTATCCGTAAAAACTCAATTGGTAATTAATCATTTTCTCTGCTTGCAATTTGCTAATGGTACACACTTAATTTAGGGTGTAAATCGTTAACAATTTTACTTTTTCTTTTCAATTTCGCAGCGTTTTGTCTCGCTGATATAAAAAGAAGCATCTTTGAATTTCCAGCAAGAAACGAAAATGCAGGTTGGCTCATATTTACGTAGTTTCTTCTTGGTTTAATTATGGATTTTTTGTGTATATCGGATCAATTAACCGGTGATTACCTGAGAATTTAGTGTGGCTTGTTGTGAAAATCAATTCTTTCATTGATTGTTGTTGTTGAAATATTTTTGTGAAGGCATCAAGAGCAAGGTTGTTTAAGGAATACAAAGAGGTACAGCGAGAGAAGACGGCCGACCCCGATATTCAACTAGTTTGTGATGATTCTAACATATTTAAGTGGAATGCTCTTATCAAGGTTGGTTCAAAGTGAAGAGTGTAAAAAAAAACATGGTATAGACATTTTTGTTCCTTTTTTCTGTCTTGAATTTTATGACTTTTTTTCGTTATATAGGGACCATCTGAGACACCTTATGAAGGTGGAGTGTTCCAGCTTGCTTTTTCTGTTCCTGAGCAGTACCCTTTGCAGCCTCCTCAAGTGCGGTTCTTGACGAAAATATTTCACCCAAATGTGCATTTCAAGGTATGAATTCCTTGGCTTCATTACCTTTCACGCCTTTCTTGAATCGTACATCATAAAATAGAAGGAAAGAAAGATGCCGCGATACTTAAGATAGTGTCCTAATCTCTTACTAACATTTGATGATTTCCCATCCCATGAAAGTTGGTGACTTTGGTTAGGCTGCCATGACCACCAAAAAGCAAAGATCTCGACGGAGAAGCAGTATTTACTCACCATTGAACCTATTAGTTTCCATACAATACTGTTTCTATGAACGTTTCATATTTTTTAACTTCACAATGTAACATTTGAGGCTGTCAATTCATCTAGACGGGAGAGAATGTTTGAAGAAATTTGTGAGAACACTTTATACCAAAAGGTTGTATGGGACTACTAAAGAATCCAGTTTCATTTAGCAAGCTTTTCTTATCCAAGTTGATGTAAGCCCTTATATTCCTGCTATGAACTTCACTTAGTTACCACCAAGCTAGGAAGGAGAAATTGGATCATATGTCAGAACTCGACTCTAAAATCAATAACATTACAATCTTCTTATAATTGTATGCTCCGGATCATGATTGAGTGGTGTAATATGGTAGCACTTGATCTTTAATCCTATTGCAGTATATCATATGTATTGGATTCCAGGTTGCTCAATTGAGAATTTAGCCTTTATTTATTATTACTCTCTCGTACAGACGGGAGAGATTTGCCTTGATATATTGAAGAATGCTTGGAGTCCTGCGTGGACACTTCAGTCTGTTTGTAGGGCTATAATAGCTTTGATGGCTCACCCAGAACCTGATAGCCCGCTTAATTGTGATTCCGGTAAGTTGGTCTATTTTATGTCAATTGTGTTTCTGCTAGAGGAATGGTAGAAAGATTAACTTAAACACAAACTTAATTACAAAAGTTCCCCTTTTTACTCCTTTTAAGTAGATGTTTTGTATATTATCATCATGCGAGAAAGATCTTTGATATCGAATTATGTACTTTCTGTTATGTAAATAAGAAATGAAGATGTCTACTGTGCCATCTCTCCATGGTTTCTTTTCTTTTTCCTGCTCCATTGCTCTCCCCATTTCTTTGAACTCTGATATATTGACACCGAAAATAAATCCGATAGTACTTTGAGCTGCTTTTGTTTTTGATTTTATCCATAACAGACACCTTTCCTATTTGTTGGCAGGCAACCTTTTAAGGTCGGGTGATATCAGAGGATTCCATTCTATGGCAAGAATGTACACCAGACTTGCTGCCATGCCCAAAAAAGGGTGAACTTATGGTGTTATGAACTGCCTTTAAACCATAAGACACGATTAATATCGGTGATTTCATTTGTGCTTTTCAAACATCGTTGTATTATCGTTTGGATATCGATATTTGCAATCTCTTATCTTATGTACGAATAAAATGAAATTGTTTTAGCTTGAGGAACCTGTCCATCCACTGACTTGCTTCTTTCACCATTAATGGTGTCATTTCGTGGCCAATTTATCTTGAACAACAATCCTTAAGAACCATTAAAGGAACTGAAGCAAGTACTTTAAAGAATAATTGCTACCTATAATCCATCCATACCTTAAACTCTTACAAGAAGCATGAGCCTTTGCATAAGCTTTAGGAGCCCTCTTTGTCGGAGTTTTTATACCACCAAGCGGGCAACTTGGATCATTGGTACCTGATACTCAACAAACCCGAAAAAATAAATTCTTTCAACAATGTATGCATAACCGAGGCAAGTTTTTAGTGTTTCAGAGAGTGTCGTGCCGCTTAGTATTAGCAGAGGGCGTGGTGCGATAGCTGCAATCGAGTATGGTGAATCGAACTTGAAAGCTACACCGGGAGCAATCCTATCCCAGACCTTCTCTACAACTTCTTTACCAATTGCACTCTTGCCTAGATCAGTCCTTGCCACTGAACGAAATAATCAAAGAGACTCAGTAACACAAGCTATTTAACTCAACTACAATAATGTCCAAGATGACAGCATTATATTCGGTTATACAAAGAACATCACCTTCGAACACAGGCTTTATACTGTCAACACGAGCCTGCCATTCATCGTTCTCGATTGCCCATCGGAATCCCTACATGTATAACATGAAAGCTCTGTTTCTGTTCTTCATTTGATCTTCTATGCTTTCAAGAATTTAGAATTCTTTTGTTACCTGAAGACCAATGATTGGAGCAGCAACAGCATAGCGGGTATCAGCAAAGGCAGCAAACCAAGCATGCATCCAGTGGCGGATTCACCGAGCCCCATAGGGGCCAAGTGCATCCCATTATTTTGGAGAAATGGTTAAATTTAACTTGTTAAGGAAAAAAGAAAAAAAAAATTTGCAAACCTATTATTTTTAAGAAAATAAAATTAAAATTTTAGACCCCATTTTTAAATTTCTGGATCTGTCAGTGCATGCATCCCTGCATTTTCATGATGTTCACTTGAACTGTATATACCACGTGTTACATAATCTCCAATCGAGTTTAACTAACCTCCGAGCGATACACCGGTGATTCCGATTCTCGTAGGGTCTATATCCGTTCTCTGTGTTAAATAATCTGCAAGCTTTATCAAATCCCACACCTGAAAAATGAAAACCTTGTATTAAACCAGAACACACTGGAAATTCAATCATGACAATCCTGATTAAGTTAGAGGAAGTAAAATGGTTCAAGAAGAAAAAGAAAACTCAGAGGAACTACCGTGTCGAATATAAACGGCATCGTATCTCTTTTAATCCATGAATGAAACTAGAGCATGTGCTTCAAAATTATCAGTTAATTAAAACCATGTCAAAACTACAGGAAGATTGGATACAGAATACGCACATCTTGATAGGTAGTGAGATTGCGAGCACGTTCACCGGGTACCGAGAGTCGATAGCAACGGCGATGTATTCCCTCGAAGCACATGGCTGAAACAAAAACCAAAGGGGAGAATGAAGTAAAAATGATTGAACACACTCGGTAAAATAAGAGCTAATAAGGAAGAGGAGAACGTGTAGCTGCTCCCTCGATCAATGGCCGCACCGACTCTTAGTTCGTGCCGGAACTGTGCAGAAAGACAACAGCAGGCTTTCTTTTCAATTTGTTACCTTTCAAGCTTAAGATTAACAGGCAACTTCCCTTGATCTCCAGCCTTTCAGCAATAGCCGTAAAGTAATTAAGCTTTCTTCACATGCATGCATGCATATATACATACATACATACATACATATGTACGTACGTACATGCATGCATATGTATATACATACATATGTGTGTGTGTAAAATGCTAGTAAGAGAGAATCCCTATTACCTCAGTGTGCACATACAACTTCCCCTCGTGAACTCGTCCCTTAAAATTTTTAATATCAGCCTTTGGACAAAATTACACTACCTTTTTCAAAGAAAATATTATCTAATATACACTGAAAACCAAACCATTGCTCTCAGCTGACTGCTTATAACACACCCATTTCTGTGAAAGAGAAAAGAAAGCAAAATGACCTCCTCTCTTAGGGTTGGTGGAGGAACTTGAAACAAAGGATTTTGCACTCGTTTTGCAGGTTCCACAGTCAAAGGAACTAAGCTTTTAAGAAAAAGAAAAGGGTTTTTGCAAACATACTGATATATAAAGTAAAAGAGATTATATCGTTGTAGTATTAATTTAGTGTTGTTTAAGGTTCGACCTTGAGGAGCTCGTCTGGTGCGAAGAAGATGAAGGAACTGAGACCGAAGCTTGTCAGCTTCATAATTAACAGCAGTACTGTGTTCGATTCCCAGTGCTCCATGGCTCAGCCAGAAGAAGAAGAAGAAGAAGAAAATGGCTGAGAAAATAGAAGAAGAAGAAGAAGAGATGGTGGTTTCCATTATTGATTTGGAGCAAAACAAAGAAGGAAATTGTTGTTTGTTTGAGGTTTTGAAATGATGGGGTATTTAAGTTTGCATGTTGGTCAAGAATCGCAACGTAAGCAAATTGCAATATAACTAGGGTAAACTATCCATTTAGTATCTACATCAGTAAGTTTTATTCTATTTTAGTATTTAAACTTTTAATTTTTTCAAAATCATACATAATATTTATTTTTCATTTTATTTTAATACATGTCATTAAAAACTTGACGCGGTTAGTACTTAAACTACCAGTTTTTATTTATTTTAGTACCTAAACATTTAATTTATTCAAAATTTAATGTTAAATTTTGAACGGAGTACTAAAATAAAACAAAAACTAATAGTGAGTACTACAATGAAACAAAATTAAAGCTTATGATTTTTAATTTTTTTTAAAAATTTAGGTACTAAAACTAATAGTTTAAATACTAAAAGTGTAATCTACCCATATAGCTATTACGTGCTGTGATCAATATTGACATTATCTGCTAGCCAAACGCCCAAACCTCCACGTGGACGTACACCGAATTTTATCGTGATTATCGATATAAAAATATTAATATGAGAATAGAAATAAATTAATAATATAATTAAATAAACACCAAAATAAGAAAACGAAATAAAATCTCATATTTAAAAATTTGATATAAAATTAGAAAAAACGTTTCCATAAATTTTATTACAAAATCAAAGACTTATTAAATAAAATGACTCAATAATTTAAATATTTAAAATAAAAATCAAAAGATTTAAAAAACCCTAAAAAGAGGGAAAATAATTATTTTAATAATTTAATTCCTATTGATTAAACATACACATCATCCTCGATATTATTATATCAATATAAGTGGTCCTAATATCATTAACTTAATATTAAATATACTGCATGGGTGTCTCAAAAAATATTATTAAATATACTATGAAATAAGGTTTAGGTATTTGTTGATTTTTTCCCCTTAAAATGCAATTGAATCGAAATAAATGTTATATGTTTCATTCACTGGTAAGAAAAAAAATCAATTCAAGAGACTTTTTATTTTTATCTATTGTAATTATTTTATTTTTAACTTCTTTTTATTTTAAAATTTCGAAATTTTATGTTTAAAATTTATATATATATATATTTGTGATGGTTCGATGCAAATTTTACTCCAAAGTCCAAAGGTCGGATCAAATTTTAAATAGATAAAATCTCTTTAAACTCAAATCGAAGCAAATAACGGATGGAGAAAGAATATTTAGGTAATACAGACCAAAAAATCAATCTGACTCGACCCATGCCTATTACTATTTTTTTTAAGGTAAAAGGAAAGGGAAACATAAGGGTAATGATAATCATAACAATGAAAGCATAGTTTGATTCAATGATGATATAAAGAGGCACGAAAGTGCAAAGGGAACTCCATTTTTGTTGATGTACAAGTTCTGGGAAGTTGATAGGAAACTCCACCCAACACCCACAAGATACCTACTCCATTGCATATATATTGTTATGAAACAATTGAATTATAACAGAAACGGTGAACACTCGATCAATCGTGACGGGATTGGATGCACGGTGCCTCCGATAGAACTGATATTATCGAGAAATATACAGCTTAATGGTGATATAAAGAGGGACGAGAGAGCAAGGGAACTCCATCTTTGTTAATTTACCAGTTCTGGGATGTTGCTAGGAAACTCCACCAAAACACAGACAAGATACTGACTCCATCGTATACATACTGTTATGAAAAGTCGAATTATAACAGTAAAAACGGTAAACGCTTGATCAATCTTGTCGGGATCGGATGCATGGAGTCTCCTATAAACTGATATTATTGAGAAATATACAGCTTAAGGGTTTTAACTGAAATTTCATCAACCTGTACGTACTAACAAGACAGCCCCAAAAATAATCCAAAGCATTCACTTTATCTGTTCCTAATGTCATAAGATGGTAAGGGGCTAACGTGTTTAGCTATCATGGTTAACTCTAACACTATTGGAGTTTGAACCTAATAAAGGATCCAAGAATCAAAAGCAGGGGTATAATGAAACACGCAGAAAGAATGCCGGATGATAATGAGAACTATCTTACTCGCTAATTCAAGCTTCGAATCTCTACATTTTCGTGTCTCGGTTGGGCAAATTGTGCTTTAAAGGCTGATCTGTATTCAAAGCAGAAGATACTGCAGGGAGAGTGTGAACAGTTTCTCCAGGTGCTGGGATTGGAGACTTTACAATTCCGTTACGATAAGGCTCCTTAGCTGCTGCATTCCCGGATTTCACAGCAACATTTTCCATGGGTTCTTTGTTTACTTCTTTTTCACTTCTGGCTGACGGAGACCACATTGTCTCTGTGAAACTTATTAGGTCAAATCAGCATTTAAGAACGTTAATTGAAAAACTAACACGTAAGATTTACAATGAGAATAAAAAATCTAGGTCGGAAAATCAAAAAAAAAATCTCAAGGGATGAAAAGACCAGAGAAATAATCTTTTATTT